CTAACGTAGACTAGACTTCAAGGTTCATACCTGTACTACTTGGGGCTTAAAACCTAAAGTTCGATAACCATTGTGATGCATCATTCTCTCAGCAAGTTGATTTGCATATCCCACGCACAAAGCCTTCCTCAAATTGTGATAATCTTGTTGGCTTTCATTCCGTCTTCTGCTTGTCTGTACATCTAATGATCCTGTTTTCCAGATACACAACGTATCAATAGAGTGAAGGAAGGCAACATCAAGAGAACACTGCAAGAAGAATCTTCAGTTGGCAGTTGAACACTAATAACAATTAACAAAGATCAGATAATACGTCAAGAAAAAAATTAGGCTATAAATAATAAAGATAGCTAATATATCTTCCATTTTCATCTCAATTCATTTTTGTGCCATAAATCAATGTATTTTGGATATTTTACTTATTGAGCACTCATCAGTTAGCAACTCTATCACAGCTGTTCACCATTATATATAAGAGTTTCACGTTATCAAGTAACAAGCAATGTTCCGTGAATGTGATATAAGCGCAAGGTCCTCACTATTGTAGCTTACCAACCTTTTGCTATTTTCTGCATGATTTGAGATAGCTGTTTCCTTACATCCTTGACAAACTTCATCCCTCTCACCTACAATCAATGAGTTCCAGAAACATAATATGCATATATTAGAATCATGTTGTAGATGTACTCAATGTATCATGTTTCTTATACAGACTATAAAAAGGTACCTGCAACTGATAATCCTTGCACCAATCAATGTCATAGTCAGTTTGATGCCAGCACTCATAGATCTGTAGCAACTGGATATGATCACCCCAACCAGAGCCATCAGGAAGGTCCAAATAATCATGTTTCCTCTTCTTATCCGTACTTTTGCTGCAAATGGAGGCATGCACAAAAATATTTCTTCTCAAATGAAATATACATACTTCCAAGGGCCAGAGGTCCATAAATATCTTTCGAAGTTTATGTGAGCAGATGTGTGCACATTTAGTTTTACACATGATATATGAGTACTTTTCAGGTACTCAGAACACAATGCATGCTATTAACTTTCACAACATACATAAGGGCACCATCTTCTGGGAAACTTTTAACGAGTTTACCTTCGACCAGGAAGCAATGTGGTTTCTGCAGATAACATAGCAGCAACAGTCAAAGCCTGCGACAAGCAGCCATATTCATTTGCCTCCATTAAGGTCCTTGACAGTGAAGGTTCCAGCGGAAGCTCTGAAAAAATCAAGGAAATACTTAGCAGACTCATCAAAGATCTAAAAGAGAAAATGCTCAATGTGCACAAACCAAGGGGGAATAACTTCTAACACTAGTAACAGATAGTACAGGAACAAAAAGCCCAAGTAGGAATGAGTAGCAAAACTTTTGTGAGTACATATATGACACTTCTATTACAGTTCAGCTAAGGTTATGAATGATGTACAAAATTTTGACCACTAAAAAATACCATTTTATTCCTCAATATGCTAGGGGCTCTCCAATGACACTAATTTATCAAAACTACGAAAACTCGTGTAAGGCTTCCAAATAATGGCAACACATTGGAATATATTACTATAACTCTTGAAAACTGGGATGTGAATCAATTACCAGCCATTGTTTTTCCAACTCTTGTGATCAATCCATTTTCATCAATAGCATCAATAAGATACAACTGCTTCAAAGCATCTTGTAAAGACTCAGCTGCAGCAAACCAATTGGAATTAGACAACATATGCAAGGAATTCTAATGTAATGCCTGAACAGGGAAGAAAAACACAATGAAAAGAAATTCATCTTACGGGAAGGAGAATCAAGAAAATCAAATTTTAGAATGTCAATATCAGGGAGGTCCAAAGATTTCAAATAAAGAACACTTCCAGCAAGTGAAGAGCGTTGTATTTCAGGAATTGTTGCATCAAGGAACTCATCCTCGTAAACCGTTGAAGGGTATAAACGATAGCACTTCCCAGGACGTGTTCTTCCTGCTCGTCCTGCACGTTGATTTGCTTGTACCCTGCAATCATATGAATCCAAACTTAATTAGAATGATAGGCAGAATCATTCGTTATTTTTTTTTTTAAGAGAATCGTTCAAGGGAATAACATCTATAAACATGACAACTTCTGTTTGTTAAGCCTTTCGGCCATGGTTTTAAAAATTCCATGCCTACATCTACTGCAATGGTTTAAGTATCACTGGCTTCCTTAAACGATAACTATGAAATTGTTTCTAGATCAGAATGCAACTAGAGAAGCTGCTAACGCTGATTGCTTTCGTAGTTGGTTCACAATTGTAGTGCGAAATAATAAGAGAACAAACATATAAACAAGTGAAAAGGTCTAATTAACTTCAATTTCAAATCTTTTTCACATAGGAATGAATTGGATCAAAATTCAAATTACCTGAATACAAACATAAGCAAACTACACAGAGGTGTTATTCATTTGTGTTAGAAACCTCATAGCATTCGGTAGAGTACAAGATGCGGGGGTAAAAAAGGGGAAATTTTATTGTTTGGAAAAGCTTGGAAAAAATGTACTTTTCATAAAACTTGTCTACTTAAATTGTAGACAAAGAGCCCAAACAAGAAGAATACAGTAATAAATTAGGTGTAAGGACAGAACACAGTAACAAGTTATAATAAATATAAAACTATGGACTCCTTACTTGCTAATTTGAACAACATCGAGGGAATACATGCCAGTTGACGGGTTGTACTGTCGTTGCTTTACGTAACCAGAATCAATAACATACCTGTGATTCATACATGATTATGAGAAAACAGAATACCATTTAACATCATTTCAGTTATGTGTAAACCAGATTCGTTGATTATAAATAACATGGAAAAAAGTTTACTAGAAAATTTTACTCAACAATAGCGGCATTGCTTCCGTATAATCATTAAGTAAATTTCAACCTTGTGAAGCAAGCAATATAAACAGGGTAAATAAAAGCAAATGAGCATGACAGCCAGGAAATAGTTTCTTTTCTTACACAACTCCATCAACAGTCAAAGAAGTTTCAGCAATATTTGTTGCGACAATAAATCTCCTACAATTTGGAGGCCGAGGACCAAAAACACGTACCTGTACAGAAAAGATGAAGCATGAACTAAAAAAGCATTAGGATTTTAAAGCCTCCAAAAATAGAACACAATTACAACTAGTCTTTACTTGCCTGCATTTCAGGCTGCAAAGAACCATGAAGAGGAAGGATTATGGCATCCATGCAAGACCCTTCTTCCAGGCTTCGAACTCTCTCTTCTAACTTCAACACCAACTTGTCTATCTCATCCTATAAAAAAGAACAGTTTTCCGGTCAGTAGAAGCATTGTATGGAAAACAATGTAAACGACAGGTTATATCCAAAGTAGTAGTCACACGCTCGCATGTACATTGAATGCCACAAAAAGGAAAAGAGAGTAGGAAAACAGCATCTGACCTGTCCAGTCATGAATATCAAGACATCACCTTCGCCTTGCTTAATATGTATATCTATAAAAAGAGAAATTGTTAGTCAACTTCTTACCAACAAGTAAATGTTTGAAACTAAGTCGGGAATTAAACCGAAATAACAGAAAGAAGATACCACATTGATCATATGAAAAATAAATTACAATGCAAAGAATAAACTAAAATCAAAATCATACTGAGAGCTGTTTCTAGAGATGACTCAAGATAGCTGGCAGGCCGCTCACGGCTGTAGGCTATTTCAACCGGGAATAACTTCCCGGGGACTTTCACTACAGGGCAATTTGAAAAGAATTGTGATACTTTTTCGCCATCAAGAGTTGCTGAAGTGATTAGAACCTTGAAATTCGAGGCACGCCTTTTCACCAAGCGTTTCATCAGTCCCAGCAGTATGTCCCTGATTGACAAAATGCCACATTGTAGTGTAAACAAACAAATAATCAAAATTTCTAAGAACCCTAAAATCTAGAGAGTTATGGAGAGAGAGAATGTACGTGTTTAGACTCCTTTCGTGAGCTTCATCTAGTATGATTACAGAGTACTGATCAAGCTCTGGATTGGAGAGGCTTTCACGAAGAAGAACTCCATCGGTGAGATACTTAATCCGCGTCCTTTCCGAAGTTCTATCTTCAAATCTGATGGCGTATCCAACTTCGTCCCCAAGCCGAACGCCGAGCTCCTGCGAAACTCGTCTGGCGACGGAGACGGCGGCGACTCGGCGGGGCTGAGTGACGCCGACGACTCCGGACCTGGTGTAGCCCCTTCTGTGAAGTATCTGAGAGAGCTGCGTGCTCTTTCCCGAACCTGTCTCTCCGATTACCACTACGACGGGGTTTTCTTCTACTGCTTTCATGATTGTGTCCTCGAATTGGAGGATTGGTAGGTCCGCCATTGATGAAGTAGAAGAAGCTCGGAATCGTAGAATGACGAGGAAGAAGAAATTTGGGGATTTTGGGAGGGAATTTGTTTGGGAAAATCGAAATCAGGGTTTTAGAAAAACTCAACTTTTCAAAGGGTTTTTTTTTTTTTTTTTTTTTTTTAAATAAAAGAACCAGCTAATGCTTTCACATTGACGGTTCATCTTTCGGAGAGCTGAAAAAACTTACAAAAACATTAAGCTTTCTGACTATCATGTGATTCACGAATGTTTTGTGTAAAGTATTGGCCTAGAATTTATTCCCAATCATCCTGTGGTAGATCAAGGTGTTTGTTGTTAGTTTGCTATACAATCGTTATGATCTTTTGAGTAGGAATGATCGATATAAATTGTTAAAATGACAAAAAGTCTCTGACATTTGGATACCAATCTTAGATTTTTCGAACTTTACGTGCATTGTTACCTTTCGAACTCAATTTTATAGCTTTTTTGGTTTTTGCTATGTTCCTAAAATTCGAACTCAACGTCACTTTTGGCATGGTAGACCTCCAGTAGGAGGCCGCACGGCATGCTATTAACTCAATGCTAGAGCACGCGCCTGATAATTGCGTCGTTGTGAACTCAAATCTCACTTTCCCGTAGAGTGGAAAGAAATGCCCAGAAACTTACGTATTTACTGAGTTTAAAGACCTTTGTGGGAAAGTTACTACCTAAGTAATAAGAGTTCAAGTAAAAAAAAAAAAAAACAACAAAAAGTATAATGTAATTGAACAAATCTCCAATGCACACACCAACTTCACTCAAAGCTTGCCAAAAACAGCTTTGATTGTCACAAGCTTGATCCCTCTCACCCAGAGCTCAGCCATTTCGATCCCACCTTCACACACAAAGTGCAGCTCCTTGTGCTTTGTAGTCACCACATGGAACAGCCCCGGCTCGTCAGTGTCGAATTTCCTCCGGCGGTTCCATCTGAACGAGTCACTAGCCCCGACTTCCGCCCTCCTGCAAATCACATTTCTCTTGCTCGACTTCCCCCACTGCAAAATCCCGGCAGCCCCAACCATTTTCAGCACTTTTCGATGTGGAGATCCTCTACCGCATTTTGTGTGCTTCTTCACACGACTCCCACCAAGAACAAGGCTTCTTGCAAGCTCATCCAATATCACGTTCTCTGCATCGTTTTTAATCCCACTTTTCCTTGCAAGTAAGAGGGCTGTCTCGTGTCTTGCATTCGCAATGTCGCATTTTGCCCCTGAAGTAATCAAAAGCTCGCACAGCGTAGCGTGGCCTCCTCTTGCTGCTAACATCAATGGAGTGTATCCATCGGCATCAGAAGCATTCACATCAGAACCCCTGCTTATCAATGTAAGAACGAAATCTGTGTCGCTGTGCTGTACTGCCTGATGTAGAGTCCCACAAAACTCAATAGGACTATCAAGTACCTTTTGAGGTGCAGCATTCTTAAGAAACAACTTTTCAAATTCTTCACTGCTTTGGTTTGTAACGAATAGTTCCATCACCGTCTGACCACATTTATTCTGCAGGTTTATGTCAGCCCCAGCATTGATAAGCAATTTGAAAGTTTCCAGGTAACCACCCTCTGCAGCTATCATGGCAGCTGAGTATCCCTTTTCATCTTGCTCATTGAGATCAACGTCTGCTCCCTCAATCAGTTTCTTCAAGGCCTCAACATCGTTTGCTTGAGTCACAAGCATTAGAGGAGAAAATATTGATGCATCGCTTGATTGAACAATTTCACCAAATCGAATCACGTCTGCAACTGCTTGTCGGAAGCCAAGAGTCCACCTTGCTGACTCTGCTATTACGCTTGCGCTCTGACCAGCAGAATTCACCAGGCCAAAATCAGCACCGTCTGAAGCCAGGATTTTAAGGCATTCCTGGTGTTTATATCTAGCACAGGTCATTAGTGCAGTTTCTCCAGATTCTGTCCGAGAGTTGATATTGCACCCAGCACTAACCAATCGTTGAAGAACCTTATTTACTCCAAGTCGTGACGCCATGTGAACAGGGCAGTCAGTTTCTGAATTTGTTGTCTTAATTGGAACTTCTACATCAGCACCGCAACTTAACAGAACCTCTACCGCTCTTTCATTGTTACATAATACGGCGTGGTGAATGAGAGTCCTCCCAAAGTGAGGAATGTTAGGAGAGAGGTGTTGCAAGAGCATGCGCAAGATAGCACCGCTGGCTTCAAAATACTCCACAGCACACCAGGTCACACTGTAAGCCTCGGCTAGTCCTGCACCCACCCGAATCTCTTCTCCTGTATTTACATCCCAGGACCAGCCCCCAAGACTCACTTTTATATCTGTTCTGGCTCCAGCCTGTTATTCGTTCCATAAGGTACACAACGTTAGATAGAAGTGCATAACCATAAAGGTACGCATACTAGCCGATGAATTAGGGATAAACCTGCAAGAGGAGTCTGACTACAGAAATTTGCCGGCTAACAATGGCGGCAACAAGCGCATTACAGTACACATTAGTGTATAGAAATGGCTTGGACGATTGAAGCAACGCCCTGTCAGTTGCATCCGCATCCACCCCACACTGCCACCAATCAATAGCATCACTGTCATGGAACAAAGCTTATATGTTCAAGCGATTAAAAAAACACATACACTTTTGGGCGACGATAACCTTGTTTGTACTTCACACTTAATTATGTTGTCAATATAGTTTAAGGATCATGTTTTCGGCAATGCAGACTCAGGTTATTCCTACATAAGCATTCTCAGACAAGCCCTAATTGAGACATAAAACCACGATGGATTTTTCGATTAGTCTATGATTAAAAGTTACCTTGATGAGTGTGTCAACTACATCAACAAAGCCTCTGCAGGAAGCAGAAACAAGAGCGTGCACCGCCACCTGAGGGCGGATCATGTCAGATCCCATGAGCATCTCGGCGGACCTAGCCCTCCCCAAGTAGCTTGCCTCCAACAAGGCCTCCTCACATGCCTCCTGAGACGCACCGCCATTGATGAGCACCTCCAGTATCTCCAAATGCCCCTCCCTTACTGCTGCTGTTGTTGCATAGCCTCGGAACAGCTTTTGATTCACATTTGCTCCATAACTCTGTCACGCGAAAATTTACAAAACTAAAATTAGAGAAATTCGAAGTTCTTCGCTTTAAATTTAAGCAAAAGAGAAATTATAATATGAATTTAATAATTCAAATATTTGCAAATTTGCATGAATTACGTTACCAGGAGCTTCCTAACGAGCGCCAAATTCCCAGAGTGAGCGGCGAGGAACAAGGCAGTGATCTGAGTCTTGAACTCCTCGTACTCGACGCGAACCTCGTGCGCCGACTCGCCCTGCGCCACAATCTCCGTCTTCTTCGACTTCAAGCACACCGTTCCGACAAAGTTCACGTCCACGAAAGGATCGCCCAGACACTCCCCCGCCGATTTCGAGTCGTTGTCGTGCGCGGCGTCCACCAACCGCTGCGAAACCTCGGCCTCGTAGTCGATCGGAAACACGTGCGCGTGCGCTTTCCCGCCGGACAGGTAAGCCGTGGCGGAGCTCCCAAACACCGTCATTTCCGAAACGTTTCGTTTTGCGGAACCTCCGAAGAGTGAAACGTCTGGAGAGCTTCGTGGTTGGTTTTGTGATTGGGTATATAGGTGGAGAGAGAGAGCTCTGTTTTGGTCTGCTTATACAGTGGGTTGGAATTTTGGCGGAAAAGGCATCTGATCCTTTTTTTCTAATCCACCGAATCAATGTTTTATGCTATTTAAATTTGATCAAACTGTTACAGTTATTATATAATTTTTAAAATAAACTTATGTTTGTAACCGTTGAATCAAATTTCAATGATACTGATTTACTGATTTAATGAATTAAAAAGAATGGATCCGAAAAAATCTCTTTCCCATTTTGGTGTGAGAGAGATATTAGAGAGAGAAAGAGAGGGAAGAGAGACATATGTCCTCTTGGGGTTGTGTACCAAGGTGACCAAAATATATTTGACGATGACTTGATCTTGTTCAACAAGTTTTCTTCCTCTTTACTGAGTAAATATTTTCTACCGCTAAAATCTGAAGTATCTCACATTCTGAATGGTGGAACTAATTATTAGTGAGGTTCAAAAGAATTAAAGGCATTTCCGTCCAACTTTAATTATAGTAAAATATCATACCATCGTGTTATTAATCTACTTAAATGAGTAATGAGCACGTATATTTATTTATTAATATTATAATTGGAGTATGTCAATTATATAATAAATTTATTTTATGACTCGTGTATCAATTACATTGTGTAGCGGTATGATTGTTACGCTTTGAAATGTGCTTGCTAATGTCCAGCTCCAAATCATTCTTGTTTTCATCGTTCTGATTTGGGATTTTTTTCATTCTCTTTAGCCTTTTCACACAACGTTTGCTGTTTGCTGGCACAATTATTAGAATTAATGGGTGAGATCATTTGTCTATCAAAGAGAATGGGTGAGATCATTTGAATTAAATCTTTTTAAGGAAATGATTATCCGAATTCGATACAATCAATTAGTTTTATAGAAGCTATCTAATTTAGTATGAGTTTTTATTTTATTTTATTTTATTTATTTATATTAATTGACTACAACAACATGTTGGTAATCAAAGAAAAAATAGGAGGGAATGAGTAGAATGATGATAAAAATCATTCTGAGATTTCAAAGGACGACCTTAAACTAATAAGGTTCCACATTTTGTAACATCCCACATCGTCCAGGGGAGTGATTCTTAAATGTATATTCACATCTCTACCTAGCACGAGGCCTTTTGGGAGCTCACTGGCTTCGGGTTCCGTAGGAACTCCGAAGTTAAGCGAGAAGGGGGCTAGAGCAATCCCATGATGGGTGACCCACTGGGAAGTTGCTCGTGAGTTCCCAAAAACAAAACCGTGAGGGAATGGTAAGCCCAAAGCGGATAATATCGTGCTACGGTGGTGGACCGGGCCCAGGAAGTGATCCGCCCCGGGGCGGGATGTGACACATTTTGTGAGGAATAGGAAAAATATCTATAGTACACAACCTTATTCTTATTTTGCAAAGAAATTGTTTTCACAACTCAAGTTCGTGACCATTTTCGGTAAAAAAGAAGTAACATTTCTGTCGCACCAAGACTCATCCTCTCACTTTGAAATTTTATAATAAAAAAATGAAAAAAAATCCCATATCAAAACGATCGAAACAAACAAAGAAAGATTAGTAGCTGGACATAGGCAACCAAATTGGATTATTTTTTTATTTCACAGAAATAAAAATAAAATATTTTGTAACGGAAAAGAAAATTGGATTATCCATTTGTATTGAAGGAATCATAAATGAGATTCAGATGTCCTTCTAGGCGTTACACGTGATCAACATATTCATTACAATTTGAACCGACTTTAAACTATACTGATTTATCGTGATTCAACCATCAACTCAATTTCTAACCAACCCAATTTGTGTTGCTTAATCGAATAACTGGCCACCCACAAATACAAGCTACTACACACGCATGCCACTAAAAAGTTGCATATTTTGTAATTTAAGTGGTTAATTTTATTTATCTTTAAACCGAAGGTCATAAGTTTGATTTCTCCTTTTTTCTACTATTGTATCAAGAAAAGGGTTACATATATGTGAGCTTAGTCGACCCATTAGGAAAGAGTAATGCTAAGTAAATTAATTTTTTTAATTTAATTTGTAAACTATGTGATGTATCACCAATAAAAGATCCGCGTGTTAATCAACACTTTAACAATAATCCAATCATCAACAATCACGTCATATAGTTTACAAAATATGTTTAAATAGACGGTATTCCTAACATTATCCATTTGAGAATATATTTTTTGGATAAAAAATGCCAACGAAACCATGTTTTTAAACCAAATGATGGAACAATTGATAGTTGTATTTCATTTTGAATGATTTAAATAAAGAATTCAACTATCAACCGTCATCATGTAGTTTATAAATATGATCTAAAAAAATGACCCGAAAGGAACAGTTAAAAGCAATGTTAATATGAATTTTTCTGTTGTCCATCCAATAACAGTATGATTATGAACATGATTGTTTTTTACGAAAACAATCTCAAGCCTAACTAAACTAAAAGTCTAAAAGTGATTATCGATACAACCAAATGATCCTCCTTAATTTCATCGAGATAATAAACCCTAGACTTTCCATGTCCCCACAGTCCAACAACTTGAGGTCTTCTAAAAGCCGGATTTGGCCTGCATTTCAAGTGCTCTTGTTCTTGTAATGTAGCCACAGTTACAATAATATTTTCAACGATAATAACCCACCGTGATAACTTTATTAACACTAATCATATTTGGAATAAGACAGAACTTTATGATCTTAATTAACACTAATTAAATTCGGAAAAAAGACAGTTGGTTGCTTACTTGTTTTGCAGAAGTCGCTGTCTTGTCTTACAAGGTCACAAAATTGGTGGCCTGCCGCTTATCCCAGGTTAATTATTTGGTTAACCATAAGATTCGCTTAATTTGGGATTCGGATGGCTGCCTACTTTGATACTTACCCACTTAATTAGGGACAGGGTTCCAAACAAATGGTGGACTTATTTAGCTCACAAAAACACCCATCTCCAACGGAAGCCTAAAGTTCCTCCTTGGCTTTAGTGTTGATTAATTAAATGGAACTTTAACAAAAAATTTTCTATACTGTTCAGTTTAATGAAAAATTATATTTTTACACTAAAAAGTCAATCATAATACTATTCATTTTACCATTTATTTTGTCATTATCGTTAAAACTCAAAGTTTTAAGCTATTTTCATTAATTTTCCTTAATTAAATTTAAACAACCATTGTATCTCGAAATGACGTGTCAGCAATGTAATCAAGTTTACTCTTTTTCGTGTGGATGTCTATCATGCAAGTGAGAAGCAAATCGATAATGAAGAGCGCCAAACATATGATGTATTAGGTAACCACTGCATCGCACACTTTAAGTTATTAAAAAAACAAAAAATGAAACAACAATGTATGTCAAGTTTACATGGTATCTTATTTGAACAAGTAAATTATTTTCTTGTTCATTACACGAAAATTAGGACACATGAACAATCTTGTGCCGGATAAATTGATCTACAAATTTAGTTATGGTGCATTAGTTAACGGCATTGAGAGTGTGAATTGCACATCGGAGAATAAAGGAATTTGGGATGTGCTTTTAGAGAGCTGAACTATTTTTTTATATTATCAATTTGTTTTATGATAGAACCTCAAATTATTTTTTGACATTAAAGTCAAGTTAACCCAAGTGTTTAGCCCAAAAGGCGAATGTGCCTTCACATCATGCAATACGTGCTGTTCCTGTTTCATGCTTAAATGAAACTACATGTAAAAAGACGTATTGAGAATGTAAAATACAATAAAAAAATTGAAAAATCAAAACGAGTGGACATAATAACACTCTTTTTAAAAACCAACCCGTTCAACCCGAAGCCCACGAATATACCCATGATTCATCTAAAATTAAAAGCCCAACCCAATTGAAAATTTGAAGATGAAAAGGACGTAAAACTAGGACCACATCACAACCGTTGATCCATGGACCACATAGAAACAGCATTGCATCTACGTGTTATATAGCCTCATCACACATACTCGCTTAATCTCGACCGTTCACTACCGGCCGCTTTAAATCATCGAAGGTCCATTTTACCCTCTTCCGCATACCAGGTTTCGCGAGGTGGGGCTCCCTCGTTCATTTCCCAACCGAGGATTCTCTCTCCTTCTCTCCCAGTCTCGTTCTCGTCGATTACCTGATCCGGCGACGCATCAAGCTTCGTCCGCCGTAGCCCGCCATGGTACGCAGCCGACATCTCAATTTGCGCGCATTTCTGGCTGAATTTTAATTTTTTGAGCTTATCGTGCACTGCCCTAGGTTTCACATTCAGCTCCGCTTTTGTGTTTTCGTCAATCCGTCATTGTTTTATATGTTAATTTGTTATGAAATATTGGGTTTTAGTAGATCTGATATGGATTTTTCTTATTTTTCCCTGTCTCGTATCTGTTTGTTTGGTGGGAAAATTGAGGAACATAGCACGAAAGCGATAGAAAATTGAATTTTGAATGGGTTAGTTAGGTTTTCGATACGTTTTCCATCTCTCGTTAGCTGAGACCATCTTTTTATTAGGCTTGATTGGAGAATGGTTTTGACTTTAGGTTTCAAATGGATTAGGAGCCTTGCAGTCTATATATTTATCACCTCATTATTACCGTTTTTGTTTGGCTAAAAGCTGGTTTGAGATATAGTAGGGATTCGCCGCTGGATTCTTAGATTAATTCAATTCAGGGCCTAGGTTCAGTTTTGTGTGAGACTCTCTTCCAGGTCTAAACTTAAGATAGTTCTAGAGATGCTGAGTTGAAATGGGTAAATCACATGTAATTCGTCTAGCGCGGGTGCCCATATTGCCTTCTTCGTGGAATGTAGAATCTATAAGAAATGAATGTAGTGGATATGCCACAGCTTTGTTATAACACCAATGTTACATCATGGTTCCGGTTGTGTAATTTTATGTTGGATTTTTCATGCACATTTCTGAGAAGTTGTTTTATTTCAAGTGTATTTTGTTTCTTCTTAGCTCTGAAGAGTAGATATTACAGGCATAGGTCATTTTGAAGAAATAAACTGATCTGTCTTATTTTTTGTTAATTCGTAGGCACCCATCAAGGGTATACTTTCTCTGCAGAGAGCAGCTTTAGCTCGTCATCATGGTGCGAAGTGGGGCCTAGGGTTTAGATCATTTAGCACTCAGGGTGCAGCACCGTCTACTACTCCTCAACCTCCACCACCTCCCCCACCTCCTGAAAAAACCCATTTTGGTGGTTTGAAAGATGAAGACCGAATTTTCACCAACTTATATGGGTTGCACGACCCATTTCTCAAAGGTGCCATGAAACGAGGTGACTGGTTCCGAACAAAAGATCTAGTTATTAAAGGTGCTGATTGGATTGTCAATGAAATGAAAAAGTCTGGCCTCCGTGGACGTGGTGGTGCTGGTTTCCCATCTGGCCTCAAATGGTCTTTTATGCCAAAAGTATCTGATGGCCGTCCGTCCTATCTCGTTGTCAATGCCGACGAAAGTGAACCTGGAACCTGTAAGGACAGGGAAATTATGCGCCATGACCCACACAAACTTTTAGAGGGTTGCTTGATTGCTGGTGTTGGGATGAGGGCTAGTGCTGCTTACATCTATATAAGAGGTGAATATGTGAATGAACGGTTAAACCTTGTAAAGGCCAGAAATGAAGCCTATGCAGCTGGATTACTGGGAAAAAATGCATGTGGATCTGGTTATGATTTTGATGTCCATATCCACTTTGGTGCTGGGGCTTATATTTGTGGTGAAGAAACAGCTCTTCTAGAGAGCCTTGAAGGGAAACAGGGGAAGCCAAGATTGAAGCCTCCCTTCCCTGCTAATGCAGGATTATATGGCTGCCCCACCACCGTTACAAATGTGGAAACGGTGGCTGTTTCTCCCACCATTTTAAGGCGTGGACCAGAGTGGTTTGCCAGTTTTGGGAGAAAGAACAATTCAGGAACAAAATTGTTTTGTATTTCGGGACATGTGAATAAGCCTTGCACTGTTGAAGAGGAGATGAGCATACCCTTGAAAGAGTTACTAGAGAGGCACTGTGGAGGTGTGAGGGGTGGATGGGACAACTTACTTGCAGTAATTCCAGGTGGTTCATCCGTTCCATTGCTTACCAAGGACATATGTAATGATGTATTGATGGATTTTGACGCACTGAAGGCTGTCCAGTCAGGATTGGGAACTGCAGCTGTTATTGTGATGGATAAATCGACTGACATTGTCGATGCAATTGCAAGGCTTTCTTACTTCTACAAGCATGAGAGCTGTGGGCAGTGCACACCATGCAGGGAGGGGACAGGATGGCTTTGGATGATCATGGAAAGAATGAAAGTTGGTAATGCGAAGCTGGAAGAGATTGACATGCTTCAGGAGGTGACCAAGCAGATTGAGGGGCACACAATCTGTGCTTTGGGTGATGCTGCTGCTTGGCCTGTGCAAGGTTTAATAAGGCATTTCAGGCCAGAGCTTGAGAGGAGGATCAGGGAGCGTGCTGAGAAGGAATTGCTGGAGGCAGCTGGTTAAGTGCTTCTCTCAGGTTGCTTCTTGTATCTATCCTGTATTCTTTTCTTCATTCAACTCCTAAAAATAAGAAAAGGAGAAAAACAATACTAGTAACTTCAAACTAAGACGGTGAATTGTGTGAGATCTTGACTGGCAATGTTGACCTTAATATCAAGTTAAGAACACTCGGAAAACTAGGTGGATGATTAACTAGCATTCCTGTTTCTGTGTTTAGTGAACTTGATGAAATCTGTTACTCTCATCTTAGTATATTTAGTGTCATGGCCGAACCTTCTGGTTTGTGTGGTAAATGTTTTGCTTTTAGGGAAGCTGCTGGCAAATGCTTCTGTATGTTCTTAGGTACTGAAACATTTATCACTGGGTTTAATAAGGATTTTTGTGCTGTGTAGGTTAACGCTTGTAGTAGTTGAAGTCATGGAATAAAATGAAGCACGTGTCCCAGATTTCGGGAGGATAGGTGAATCGGGAGGCAGCTGGTGGTCCGGCTGCTATTGTTTGTTTTTGAACTGTATCAACTGTATGACATCGTTGTCCCAGAGAAACTATGATTCGTTATTGATGCGTCTGGGCTGGATATTTATGTTGTGTTTCCAGATCTTTGTTTTCCCTTACACAGTTGGAATTTTGTTAATAAATTTTTGTTTCTCACTTCCCTGCTTTATGTAATGATATGGATAGATATACCTTCATGAATACAACATGAAACCTCAAATTTACGGGTACGAAAACTTAAAGGGTTTTATGCATGCATGCTAGATTAGTAAGAAATTGCACTATAAAATATTCGACACGGGGATTGAAAATGCACTTCATGAGCATTACGAAGAAACACGAAACAAAGAATTTTCAACCCATCACTTACAAGTCCCTGTTAGTGTGGTCTTCATGCATCTTAAATCCATATATCTAAGGGAAGGTTTGTAGTAGGTGTTGGCAACAATCCCGGGCATATTTATCAACTTCCATTTTAGTAAAGTTGGGTGCCTTTCGTACAGTTTCCAAAGGACTCGTACCAAATTCAACAATTGTGCAAAATTCAAAAGGGTAAGTTGTAGGTTCTAGAAGAGTGACGCGTGGAAAGAAGAAATTTTGAGCTTCCCCAAATTCAACATTTCCCATTCAATGAGCTGTCTCTTTATTAGACAATGGCCAAAAGACAAAACAAAACAATCCTCGTGCTGAGAGTAAGTCAGAAGATAACTTTTGTGGTAAAAAAATTAAGATTTAAAAGTTTGGAGTAAGTTTGTTAATATTGAAAATTGAAAGTTACGTTAAATTTTTGCTAATTGTTAAATCATAAATCTCATATGAGAGACTAAAAAATAAACTTAGTCTAAAGTGATAACAATTAACGGAGAGTTGTATACGTGAGAGTTGGACAAAAATTTTGACTTTGGATCTAAATCGGAACGGCCTTCACCATAGGAGGGCCCAATAGAATGGCGCAACCCGTTGGCGTGCTCAAGCGGGTCAGACGTATGAGCCCAGATTGGATGAGGTGAGTGAGAGAGACAGTTCCTTTCCGAACAACGCGGTTATCATCCATCCTTTTCCGATTGTTCCTTTTTCCCCAACGACCTTTCCTTCCTCTTTCCGTATTCTCGCACGCCATTCCCCTTTCAATTTTTCACCTTCTGACGCAACGTACAACCTGAAAAAACATACACCTACACAGCCGAACCCAGACGCAGTCTCGCATTTCTTCTGCACTCCTCTCCATTCGCCCGCTGTAAGTTTACTCACATTCTTTCTTTGATCTCCATCAAACTGTCCTGCAATTCCCAGTTTTTCCTTCAAATTTGTTTCCATTGGTTGCATGGTTTCAAAATTCTGTTCGTCTTCACTGCTTTGGGATCTAGTAGGAGTAGTAAGTTGGTCTCTGCATCGATGCTCGGATACAAAAAGTTTTGATATTTGTTTTGTTTTTTTGTTGATTGATTCACTGCTGCTGTTCTCATCACCCCTTTTGTCCGTTTCTTTTTTTGCTAAGTTCTTCCGCAATTTTATATAACGCGGAGAGAGGTCAGAGAATTTGTCACCATTTTTTTTTTAATAATATAAAAAATAAGTTGAATGAGTGGGGTGGGTGATACCCAAAATTTATTAAATTTAAATCCCTCTCCACGTTTGTACTCGTTTTTTGTTTTTCATGGTCAAATCTTAAACTGCCCATTGTTTTTATCTTGCATTTTCTTCATTGTTTATTGAAGTTCATGAGGGTGCTTGCATCTTAGGTTATTGGTATTAAATTACATTCAAAAGGTTGACAATTTGAATATATTATACACCCCCTTTATTTGTATCTGATTTTGTGATGTGTGTATATATGTAAGGAGGTTTTATGGATGTAGAAGCATTGTAAGTTTGAAGCTGTTTCTACCCATCACAAGCTATCCGGGAGCTTTTCGTGACAATGGTTCTTGGGATCAGAGCAAAGAGCAGGAAGAGCGCGGCCGTTGATGTTGATTACCTCATCCATGTGCAGGAGTTAAAGCCATGGCCCTCAACTCAGGCTTTGAAGTCTGTTCAATCTGTCCTGCTTCAATGGGAAAATGGTGAGCAGGTTTCTGGATCGTGTATTTGCAATGTTGGTGATGGGAAGATCGAATTCGGCGAGTCTTTCACGCTTCCAGTCACTTTATATAAGGAGAAATCAAGAAAAAGTGCAGTTCGCGACTCTTACCTGAAGAACAACTTAGAGTTTTACTTGTATGAACCTCGAAAGGACAAGGGAGTTAAAGGTCAACTCTTGGGGTCAGCTGTGATCAATCTTGCTGACTACGGGATCATTGTGGAAACCAGAAATGTAAGCACTCCTCTGAACTGGAAGAAAAATTTTAAGAGTTCAGCTCAACCGGTTCTTTATGTTAGTATTCAGCCATGTGGTAAATCTGGCTCCAGCTTGACACCAAATAGTGGCTTGTCCAGAGAAGTGTCTCTGGAAAATGATGGAACTGAATCTGTTCCAGAGTCTGCGAATGATGGCAATGATGAGATTGCCTCTTTTACCGATGACGATGTTTCCTCGCATTCATCACGTACTGTAAACTCCTCGGCTATTGAGACAACAGTGAATTCATCACCTAGCGGTGAAAAGGTATGTGAAGCCATATTTAAATTTTCTTCCTTTTAGATCAATTTTCTTTTTTTCTTTTTTGCTCATTATTTCAAAATATGATTTCTCCAGTTGCATCTAATTTATCAAGCAGAATTAGATTTGTGGAATTTAATTTAGTTTCAGATCCATGGTGTATAATGAACAAACCACGTTGCTGAAATTAAGGCTTTCGAATACAAGTTCCGAGAACCCAGATAGTGTGAAGTACTTACACCATCATAATTTTCATACTCACTTGCATATAAATGTCCAAAGAAAACGACCTAATAATATGGTTGCAAACTTGCAACCATCCAGCCAATTTACTTTGGTTTGTCAGTTTCTTCTGCACTAATCAAATAGTGGACAGTAACTATCCTGACAATGTTTGATCTGATGGGTTGCTTTTCTTTATCTGAGCCAATTCGTTTGTGGATTTTCTGATTGTTTAACAGCCACATATATATTAATTTCAGAATGGACTAGAATCAACAATCAGTAAAAGGGCTTATGGGGAGCCTGCTGTACAGTCAATGGCAGCACCTGCAAGCACAGGGGTAACTCCAGTGGCTAAAGCATTCAAACACCAAAATGGAAGTTCATCTCCCCTGTCATCAATAGGCTCTTCCTCCATTCTGCTGAACTCTTCAAATGATCCTGCTTCCTTGCCTAACAGTTCAAAGGAGAGCTCAATGCCAATCCTTAAAAAATCGCTCACTCACTCTGTTCATTCAGCGTCTTCATCCTTTGGCTATCAAGATAGCCATCAAGAATCTGGGTACCATAATTTTAAGGACAACAGAATTCACATAACTCCATCTAACGGGAGTGCCAGAATGCATGAAAATGCTCAAGAACTTATCACGGGAAATATTGTCAGTACCCATGCTGCTGAAGGTGCATCCTCGAGTATGTCTATTCAGGAGGACACAAACTCCACATTTGCAAGCAACGCAGATTCACAAGCCCTTCGAGAGGATGGCCATCTCCTAATGGCGAATCAATATTCTTTTGATGACAAATTAGCTTCCAGATTTTCACAAGATCCTACCAGAAAGCAAGTCAGGTTAAGAAGTGAAACTTTTACACCTGGCAGGAAAGTTGTTGGAGTTCAGGGAAGTAACGCTAAAAGTAATGAACTAAAGCATGTAAAGTCTGTGCAGTTACCTTTAGTATCAGCTCTGAACAATAGACAGTCAAGCAATAATGAGTTTCTCGAAAAGTCAAGGGAAGCTGAAACTCCTGAAGATGCTTCTGTTCACGGTTGGATTAGCTCAACAAGTGAAAGTGAACAAAAAATAGTCGGCTTTTCCGATAGCAAAGTTGACTTGGAGTCCACAATTGAATTGCTCAAAGAAGAACTGAGAGAAGCTGCTGCTGTTGAGGTTGGCCTTTACTCTGTTGCCGCTGAGCATGGGAGCCACACTAATAAGATTCACGCTCCTGCTCGGCGACTTTCTAGGTTCTATTTTCATGCTTGCAAAACAAGCTCGCGAGCTAAGAAGGCAAATGCAGCAAGAGTTGCTATCACTGGACTAATCTTGGTTTCTAAAGCATGCGGAAATGATGTTGCGAGGTACTAAGCTAAATAAATGGAAAAGAACTCACCATTATAATTTATTGGCCAAGAAATGATGCCCAAGATGAATCCAAATATAATACATATATATATATATATATTTATTTTTGAATGGGTGTCAAAAATGTGTGTCCCCTTATCCCAATTATTTTGATGGTCCAAATCAGTTGATACTTTGTGTCCTATAAATCTTCCAGGATGCAAAGATATTTATCTTTTAGTTTCACACTCCACTGTTTTGTTGCCAATGAACAGGTTGACATTCTGGTTGTCAAATTCAATTGTGTTGAGAGCTATCATCAGCCAGACCTTATCCTGCAATAAAATTAGTGCTGAGGGGGTTTTGAAACCAAAGAATGGGTTTCCTCCTCACAAGGAAGAGAACAATAGCACTGTTGAAAGTTTCGATGATTGGGAAGATCCACAGATATTTATGGCAGCTTTGGAAAAGTTTGAAGGATGGATTTTCTCCCGAATTGTTGAGTCTGTATGGTGGCAGGTAAACCCATATTATTTTCAATTTTTCTTCATTATTGGCATTGTCATCATCTCTTTTCATTATTTCAGTATTGAGCTCTACCTACAAGAATTTAGCCTAGATAAGAAAGTCCTTGCTATTCATTACTGATACTGTATCTTGTTTTTCCCTCTTCAGAATATGACTCCATATATGCAGTCAGCAGCTGCAAAGGGTTCAAGCTCAAGGAAAGCCAATGGAAGGAGGCATGGTTTGGGTAGTCATGAGCAGGGTAACTTTTCTATGGAGCTGTGGAAGAAGGCTTTCAAAGATGTCTGTGAAAGGCTTTGTCCTGCAAGAGCTGGTGGACATGAGTGTGGCTGCTTGCCTGTGCTGGCTCGTTTGGTAGGTTTATGCATGTGTGTATGTTGAGCTTTTCACTTCACCTGGAAACTCCTAAAGGTTATCATAGAACATTGTGCGTGAGTGTATTTGAAAACTTGGTGCAAATGCTATAGGTGGCCAGAACTACACCACCGATGTTTAAAAGAAAATATATTGTGTTTTAGTTTATATATTGAACTCCTGGTGGAATTCCAGTACTACATTAGAGTGAGCTTTTACTACTACATCATGCTTCCAAAGTCAATTAAAGATCTGTCGCACGGTTTTAGTACTTTCCTCAAAATTTATGCAGACCTATAGATTGCTAATCTATGGTTTTTCAGGTAATGGAGCAATTAGTGGATAGATTGGATGTGGCTATGTTCAATGCTATTCTTCGTGAAAATGCTGAAGAGATGCCCACAGATCCTGTGTCCGACCCCATAAGTGATTCTAAGGTTCTCCCTATTCCAGCTGGAAATTTGAGTTTTGGGGCTGGTGTACAGCTAAAAAATGCGGTGAGTGTGGACACTTCATTGTGTGGGTTATTAGTCACATATTGGTTTTTTGGTTTCTGCTGCAACTCTGTACTACTGGTGAAAAGGCAATCTTTTATTTGTGAAGAACTAGTAGTCTTGCATTTCATTGAAGGAAGGATTGTGCTTGTCTTCATGACCGCAGATTGGAAGCTGGTCCAGATGGCTTACTGATCTATTTGGCATCGATGATACTGATGCTCCTGATGATAATACTGAACTCAGTGATCACAAGGGACAAGAGCGTGAAACATCCTTTAGAGCTTTCCGTCTTCTTAATGCTTTGAGTGACCTCACGATGCTTCCATTTGATATGCTTCCAGATAAATCCACCCGGAAAGAGGTAAATACTGGGTTTGTGTCCATTCCCCACAGTTAATAAAAAAAAAAAAAACACTGAGTGTATAATAACCCCCTGCCATTTGTAATAATCATTGTTTCATTGATTTCTGAAGGTATGCCCTACATTTGGTGCATCATTGATCAAGAGGGTTCTTTACAATTTTGTTCCGGATGAGTTTTGCCCAGACCCAATTCCCGAAGCAGTTTTTGAGGCTCTTGATTATGAGGTAACTAAGAGGCCGTGTAGTATCTCCACACATAACCCTCCAGCTTCTTTACTGAACTGCACTCCTGTATGAATGGTGTAGGACTGATTATATATACTTGATTGTTTATTACTCTAACTGGCTATCCTCTGAACAAGAATCATGGACTCGGGGCAGAAACCCTTATCTTTGTAGGGTTTAATTTTGCATTAATCTGTTTCACTCTTTATTTATTTAGGAGGATTCGGAAGCTGAAGCAGAGTTTGCTGCAAGTTTTCCATGCAACGCAAATCCTACAGTGTATTCACCACCTCCAGCTGCTTCACTACTAGGCATTATAGGAGATGTGGGAAGTCCAACTTTCTCGAGGAGTGGGTCATCAGTGCTCAAGAAATCGTATACAAGTGATGATGAGCTTGATGAGTTGGATTCACCGATGACTTCAATCATCATAGACAATTCCCCGTTTTCTCCCAGTCCATTGGCAGCCTCAAAGCCGAAGTGGAAGGGTGGTCGGAAAGCTGTCAGGTATCAACTCCTCCGTGAAGTTTGGAAGGATAGCGAGTGATCTTCCCTTTCATGTACGTATCTGATATACTTGGGAAGGTTGTTCAATTTGGGGGGCTCTCTTACTTCACGCTTGTACATAGATGAGTATTTATACAACGGTACAACCATATGAATGTTGGAACAGTTTGTTCCAGAGCAGTGGCTATCGGGTTAGCGGCTGTAATCAATAGGCTTTCATGGAAGCCTACTATTTTTTTGAATAATGATATACCTAAGCATAATCTCGGTTTCCTTGTCTCGTTGTCTATGGACTCGAAACATGGGAGCAGGCGTTTCGTCTATGAACGACTTATGCAAATGCTGAACGATTCATTCGAACTGACTCTTGAGGATGTTTAAGAAAGTAACCGCTTCTCGAATGAAATAGTTAGAAACAGAGCAGCAGGAATACAGTTCAAGAACTTCAGGCTACAGTCGCATATGTGTCTGGTTATCCTTGTTTGCACCTGCAAATACCCACGACGAAAGTTCATGAGCCGCTAGCTGAGCGGAAGAGAGACAAGACGATGAAAAATATACAAAAACCCGAGAAAGAAACCAAGCAAGGAACTAGAACCTATTGTGCCTTCTGGTGCATATAGTTTTTCCAGTTAACATATGAGTAGGGAATGAAGAAATCTTAGAAATATATGAAGAAAAGCACTTGTACAAAAAGCACAAGGAGTTCATCTAATTACTCAAGTTAGGAACAACAAATTAACAGACATCCAAGAAACCGAAATTTTCCATTCTAAATATTGAAGCAAATCAAAACTTTCGTAATCGAAAACTTTCGTTACCAAGCAGATTTTCCAGTTTCGACATCGGTTGAATTCAGATTAAGAAGTTGACTAAACAAAAAAAAAAAAAATGCCACTTATGACAGAAGAAACGATGGATGTTCTTCTTTTTGCTTCTTGATTTTGAAGAGCAAAACTGCAATTGGATCTCAGCCGTTGAATGAGCTCACATCTGATCAGACAACACTTCCTCCACAGTCCACAGCTTTTTGCTTCCAAGAATCGAATTCGATGCTTTTTATTTTGCCTTTTTCAAGTTTCAAACCTTCAACCAACTACCAACGGCTAGGAACCCGTTACGCGAGTCATTTTTCAAGCACACTCAAATCACGGCGTAAAGTCAAGAGATCTTTCAGTGTGCTAAAAATACGGTTCGATATACAAACTTGAAAAAAAAATTCTGACCAACTGAAATATTTCTCCGTAACGTCTATTCATATATGTAACATGTGTCAACCATCCAGAGAACTCTCCCGCTAAAATCATTAGGACCCGCTCGTTTCCCACTGGCAGCGCGCCAAAAAAGAAACTGCGCCCCTTCCAAACAATTGGTTTTGGGTTCTTACTATTATCAGGTGCTTTCAAATTTAGAGCAGAAGACTTCTCTTTGACATACATATAAGGCCGAACCCTTGACCACTTTTCACAAAATGGATTCCCGGGCATCCTTGGCGTCCCAGGTAACAACATCGCGTTCGTTTTCATAGAAATTCTCTTTGCTCTCGCTCTTTATCGAAAACATGATATTGTATTGATATTGATAACAATGTGCAGACAACATGTCACTGCGTTTTATTTGCAATAGTGATATTGATGCATTATCAGTGACACGTCGACAGTCTCTTCAAGAACTGAACTATTATTTTTCATATATGTCAGCATTTGATTCAATATTTTGGCATGAAGTACCATTTTTCATGTACATGTCTGAATAAATTTGGAATTTCTCAGGAATCAACAACACAAATCAACATGATCAGTCCCAGAAAACGCCCGTTGCACACTTGTGCGGTTTCATTTTCATTGGTAGCTCATAGAGCCTTCACCATAGCCCAAGGTCTCAATGGACCGCTAGGGTTCATAATAAAAATTGCAGCCAGACTAATCACGTTGGCCGGACCCTTGGCTTATGCCTTGAAATACCAATGGGTCACAATGACAATCCTCTCATTCATCGACGGTCGAATTTTAGCCCTTGAAGGCATGATCGAGAGATTTTACCCTCCTTCACACATTGTGTTCGATAAGATCGACGACCTTGTCCAAGTCACCGAATCCCTGCCTGGAAAATTCGACAATGCTGTTAGCAAAATCCCTGCACATTTCCATCGCATTTCATTTTTCGATTGGACGTTGGTTCGTGCCATTTGGCTGCTGAATTTTGTTGTGGCTACATTGACTAATTACTGGAGAAAGCCAAAGGGTACGAGGGAGAAGGAGATTGAGGTTGATACAAGCAGCAATATTGATCGCAACTGCGAACCAGAACCAGGTTCGGTTCATGAAGCCGACCGGTCTACACCAAATTATAATAAGATTAATAAGGGTAATAATTTCTCTTCTCCGCGTAAAGCTGTTACTTACAAGGACGTGCTTCTACAGAAGGGAACAAATAAAGGAGGGATTGGGAAAAAAGAAGAGAATAAGGTTAGTAACAGGGAAGAAGTGGAGAGTAGTGTTGCTGATGACGATGAAAGTGAAACCAACTCTAGGGATGATCTCATCGAATTGTTCGAATCGTCGTGGCTTATGACATCGCCGGGAAAAAATGATGAAAATTACGCGCCACGTTCTGTTTCATTCGCTTTTTAGCAAAAGTAGCAAGAATTTAATCACTCTTCCATGAATAACAAAAAATATGCAAAACGAATGTTGTTCTTCAAAAAGGGTATATTTTTGCTAGTTTTGTTAATGTGAAACATTAAAGTAATTTTTAATGTTTTAGAAGGTAAAATATATAGATACGAAAATGGCAGTGTGGTTTGGCTGTCCAAATCTATAAACCTTGGGAGTGAGTAGGATTTCTTGTGTTATGGTAGAGAACCGAGCATCAGTTGGTTCTGTACTTTTAGTTTTGGCAATATCAAGAAATGCAATGGTTGTAAATAAAATGTTACATTGTTGTGGAATTCACAAAATCCAGTGCGCTCTCAAAATTTACTGCACAGCAAAACCTAATTTTCTCTTGCATTGTTCTCATTAGCACTTAATGTTTCTTAGCTCTCAAACGATAGAAATTTAGGATACGAATACATCTTTTCTCTAGGGATATGTATATATATGGATGGGGTACCGCTAGAAACACCAAATATGATCATACTTTACTCACATAAAGAAGTAGAATGTAAGGTTTGAGTCTTAATAATTAAGTACTGACACATTATTTGGTGAATAAATTAACGCGCTTAATATTTTCAGTCAAAAAGTCTACCTGTTACTGTTAATTAACCTGGGGTACTGTAGCTCGAAGAAAATGAAGCCTATGTATTTGAATTCTTAACCAAAGGACATGAAAAACACGGAGAACATGAGTAATGTCTACAAAGGAAAAGTACAAGAAGAACACGAAACAAAAGTAGTTTTTGCCACGAGTCCATCATGTTGAGGAGCCGGCGGCTGCTTAATATTACTTAAGCCGAAAACCCACCAGGTAGCAATCAAATTCAAAACCCACCACTCCTCCATCCATCATGTTTCCTATTTGGATTGACATTTGATTGCTGAAGCGTACAACGTGAAAAGTAATGGCGGATTTAGGAGTTTTTTACTGGGTGGGTTAGTTTAAAGATTTAAATTTTTATAAACAAAGAAATTTGATATTGTATTTTTCACAGTGTCAGCTAGCTTAAGAAAATTTCATAATTTGAGTCAAAAATTTTCGTTATTAAACAAATACGTGTTAAAAATCCACACGTGTACATGGTTGTACATGTACAAGAAGTGATGAGAAAAAAGATGTAAGAAAAAAGATACGGTTTGTAAACTGTATTATATAATTTTATATAATTAAAACGAGAGAATTCAGATTAGTGACTAAATATATCGTAGATTACATTAAAAAATCAATAAAAATTACATGTAAAATTTTATTTTTCACCAAAAGCTACTTGGGCTATAAACCAGGGTAGCCCTTAATGTGGCTCCGCCAGTGGGCAAAGGACGATAAATACTAAGTTTGTAATGCTATGTTTTGATTTGTATTTAAAGACAAATTATCAGAGCTAAATACCCAGTTTTATTTTCAAATAACAAACTTACTAAGTGTTCAATTATAAGGCACAAAACATAAAAATTTATACTTGTGAATGGTAATTACCCGTGCTCTTGCATTTCTTTCTTCCAAATGGGTGGACTTGTACAAAGACAATTACTGTTCAGAATGAATAGTAAGGACAATTTTATTGTCCTTCCCCTTCAATTACCGTTGCCTTCCACTAAGACCATCTCCAACCCTTGGCCTAAAACCTAAAATTTTTAGCCTAGAAAATTTAGGTTTTAGCCCAGAAACAGGTTTTTTGCTCCAACCCTTCTGGCCTAAAATTTTAGCCCTAGATTATTAAAGAATGAATTTAAGCTATTTTTTTTAAATTAACTTAAAAAAAAATTATGTAGACTATCCTAATTTAATTTTATGAACATTTTAACCTAAAAATATTTAAATTCCGATAAATTTAGAAAAATCACTAAATCAATACATGAAACTCATGAAACACTACGGAAGAATATGAAAATCATGATAAAGATGTATAAACACAAAATCCATGAAACACACAAAACACACATGAAGCACATACAAAAGACATGATAGAGATGTATAACATATCAAACATGTGAAACACATAACACACATGAAATACATACCAAAATACATACAAAACACCTGATAGAGATGTATAACACACCAAACATGTGAATCACATGACACACAAAACACTTACCAAATACATACAAAACACATGAAACGCATGAAACACAAACCTACACACATGAAACACAAACCTTCAATCATCCTCTATATAAACACAAGTTGAATATCAAACCATCACACAACAGATTCACCAATCTTTCAACTTTCAAAGTGTTTTTGTTTCCTAAAAATCCTCAATATCTCATCAATGGGTGATAGAAGAAGGCGTAGCTTGGCAATGCAGATGACACAATACCATGCAAGCCTCGACAATGCGGATGCAGAAATGAACAACGTAGAAGCTGAATTTGCAGACTCGCTTATGCAATATGGGCACCAAGCCGACTATCATGGGGCGTTCATTTGTGCAGCGTGATAGAGAAGAGTGTCATGATCGAATGATGAAAGATTATTTCATCGAACGTCCAAGATATCCTACTCATGATTTTTGGAGGCAGTTTCGGATGAGGGGAGAGCTTTTTGAAAGCATCTTGAACGCAATTGTCAATCATGACCACTACTTTGCAAGGAAGATAGATGCCGTAGGCTGACAAAGTTTATCACCTCATCAAAAACTCACATCTGCATTTCTAATGCTAGTTATGGGTGCTTTGTAGACTCAACTAACGAGTATTGCCAACTTATGTAATGTGAAATCCCCTTCCTGGATTTCACTGTTGTTATTTACGTATTTTGTACTCGCAAGATTTTATAGTATTTTTTCGAATTTAAAATAATTTTAGATATAAAAAAAAAAGAAAAAAAAAAGAAAAGAAAAGATAGAAGCTGCTGGATGGCAGCAAATGAGAGAGGGGATGAGAGTTTCGGGAGGTTCAGCCAAGGGGAAGAAGAGAGGGGAAGAAGGCTGCCAATGAGAAAAGAGGAAAGGAGGAGAAAGAAGGGGAGGGGAGGGACACCAGATCCCTTGCCCGGTTTTCTTCTTCAACCCGACCCAACGGGATTCATGAAATCTGACGATTTTCTTGTCATTTTTTTTTAGAAAATCAGGGCAAACCACTACCTAGAAACAACTCCCTAGCCTTCCCTCTTCCATTTGCACCCAAACTTAGAAGGAATTTCGTGGTAATTTTTGGGAAAAACGGACGGTGGTCCGTGTGGGTGTATGGCGGCGATCCACAAACCATGAAGCTAAGTCAGCCAATTACCACCACCAATAGGCTCCCCTCAAACTCAGGAACAAAGGCCAAGTAGTGGTGGAGGCGTCGGAGCGAGTATGGAGGTCGAATCAAAGCACACCCAACTCTAGGGTTCCGGTGGTTCGTGGGCGATTTCAAGTGTTTTTCGGCCGAATTGGACTTTGGTCCAGGTATAAAAATTTCTCTTCTCATTGAGATCTACTTGGTTGTAAAATTTGATAATTTTTGAAAATAATTGAATTTTCAGGCAAGTCGGGGCGGCCGACTGCCACGTGTGGCGGCTCATGGGCCGAGACCCCACCTGACCTTCCTAGACTAATTTGGATACCATAATTCCTCATGTGATGTTCAATTGATGAAATCTCGTCGTATGACTATAGTTTTGATAGAGACCGCCACTTGGACATTATATGAATTGACAATCCGACCGTTGGATTGGCACCAAATTTAAGTACGTAATAGTACATAATATTTAAGGATATTAGGAACTGACGGATTTGGAATCTGAAGTATGGATCTTCTTGGATTGGTTTTCTAAGTTTGTAAAACTAAACGTCGGACACCATGTAATTTTAGCGATTGGAGAAGATTCGACCGTTGGATCGTTCTGAAATTTTTTGTTATTGTTCTAGAAAATTAATGAGACCCTTGGGAAATTATGGATTAGAAATCTGATAGGCGAATCTTCCGGATTAGATTACTAGGGTTGTGGACCCTACCCTTGACCTTGATTGACGGTTGACTTTTTAGTCAACTAGCTGAATTATTCTAGCATGTTGTTAATCTTAGAATTTTGTTGAGACTCCATGGAGCTTATTGGGCTCAAATGATGATGTGTCTTCCTTGATTGATGTGCACCTCGATTTATGTACTGATGGCATTACATTGTGATATGCTTGTTTATTTTGTGTGATTTGACTTGTGTATTGAACTTGTTGTGGTGTGTGGTTGATTTGTAAGTTTAGCTTGATGTGATGGAATGTGAGTGACTCTAATATATGTGATATTGGTGATTACCCTGTTTTCATAATTGTTATCCTGTGTGGATATGACTTGGTTTTATAAATATGTTTTCTATTTTATTGTTATTTTTTAATACTTAGTCATCAATTTATGTTAATGAAACGAGATTTGACGTGTATATTTGATATATGGTTTGATTTGTATGATTGGCATGTTGTGATTAGATGTATATTGAATTGTTTGTGAAATGTGATGGCTAGTAGTGGACCGTTAACCTATTTTGATGGATATTGTTTCATATCGTTGAGCCTTCGCAAATGGAGTAACTTGATCCATGTCTTGTTTCTTCGAGCCGTTGTTATGCCTTCTACTCCGCGATTCCATTGAATGATGGTCTGAAAATCGTATCCACTGGGATTTCGATGAGTGATGGCTCGGAATCCCTTATACTCCATGATTCTGTTGAGTGATGGTCCAGAATCGTATCCTGGTTTGGATTCCGTAGAGAGGTCTGGAATCCCCTTTGGTGTTTGATTTCGTTGAATGGTCCGGAATCCCTTTGGTGTCTTGGTTCCGTTGAGTGGTCCGAAACCTGATGTTGGTGGATTTCGTTGAGTGGTCCGAAATCGCATCATTTGACTTGTTGGTTCCTTGGATTTGATATCAGCTTCAGAAATAGGCTTCGGCCAATTGTGTCGCTCTAGCCTTCCATTTTAGATATGATATGTGTTATTGATTGATGTGATTGTGGAATAATGTTGGTTGTGTTGTTGTCATTATGATTAGACTCGTTGACCATTGTGGCTAGAGGATAACATTGTGCTTCGTTGATTGTTCTTTGAGATGTTGCATATTATGGATTGCGGTATTATGTGAAACATAGTGATTTATATGAAGGATGAATTGAAAAACATATATATGTGTGGGAATAGCACACCTGCGTGCATGACAAGATGATAATTGTGTTTGGTTTATGGTTGATGTGTAGTGTGGTACCTTGTGTTTTCCGCTAGAAGTATTTTACCAAAAGATTAGAGTTTGATGAATGGTGAACTACGAATGGCTTGATCCCTGTTTAGGGTATGTAGGCAGTCTAACGAGGAGGTTAGATGCAACTATAAAGTAT